TCAGCGCAGCCCACTGGGGGTTCCTTCCCCACTTCTCCCCCTTCCCCTTCCACGACCCCACCACTTCCCTTTTGTTCTGAATCCCTTCCCAAGGCGCTACGTTGGCTTTTGAAGCTAAGTTAGCATGCTGGTACCAAAGCTTTTAGGAAAGAGCTCCCTATTGCTCCCCACTCCCCTTCTGGAGTGGCGGCTGATGCTCAGAGGCCTGTGCCTTTCAGGACTTTCTTTCCGAACCACTCTCCCTTGGCTGGTTTCCTGTGGGCAGCCATACCCCAAAATGCCAGCCCCGGTTAATACCTTGAGTCCCCTTCCTCACACGTCTGGAGCATAGGACATGTTTCATGAATGAATGAATGAATGAATGAATGAGTGAATGACAGGATCCTTCATCTGATATTCATGACTCCTCTCAATCTTGCTCCCTCTCCAGGCTTTCCTCTCTCCACTCCTTCGCCTCGCCCCGCCCTGAAGCAAACCATCCACCTTCTCCACTCACCTGTTCCCAAGTCATTCCCTTTCAGAGGGTCCTTACCTCCCTCTGAAATACCAGCCCCCAGCCACGGCTCTCATTTTGTCTGGACCCAGTTCAGTTGCCGGCTTCCCTTCCCCACTGAATTCCCACAGCACTTTCTCTGTGCCTCTGTGGGGGCACCCGACACTTTCTCTCTGGAGTAACTGCTCAGCCCTACCCTTTCTCCCCCGGGGAGTGGGTGGGGGAGATGTCCTATTTGCTTCATATTTGCTCCTCTCGTGTCTAGTGCAGGGCTTCACATACAGTAGACATAAAATAAAACGAATAAATATATGTGAATTTATATATGTATTTATAAAATGCATGCAAACACATATATTTTTCTCTTCTAGAAAGAGTATATGTTTGACATGTTTATTGTAAAAAAGTGGAACACACTAAAAGGCATAGAGAACAAAATTAAAATCATATTATGTCCTACTACTCAAAATTAACCACCTAAATTTTTTATAGATTTCTTTCCAGAACTTTTTCTATACAAGTAGGAATTCATTTTAGTATTTGGGGGGGTATTGCATGCACGGTTTAGTGTCTTCTGTTTTCCGTTTAGACCCTATGGCAGCGCCTACCCACATTATTATAATATGCTCGAAATCTCCTTTCTGATGACTGCTTCATAGTCCATGGTGTGCCATGATTTATTTAACCACTTCTTTAATGTTAGATGTTTATAAATAATCCTGTGAAGAACATTCTTGAACAAGAGTCTGCCCGCATTTCGGATTATTTCCTTAGGACAAATTCCTAGAAATGGAGGGCAGGAACATGTTGAAGTCTCTCACCACTTGCTGCCAAGTAGCTTTCCAGAAACATGTACCAATTACAACCCCACCAGCTGCCTTAGAGAAGAGCTTTTGATTCTGCAATTGCAGCAACACCTCGGCCTGGGGGAGGGGCTCTCCTCCATCCAAAGCCTCGCAGGCAGTCCTGACAATGGACCCCTTGTCCTGCCCCCATCTCCTCTTCCCACACTGCCCTCCATCCTGGCTCCAGTCTTGACTGTCAGCAAGGCTTTTGTTCAATCCTCTCTGGCCTTCCTGGCACTCCAGCCTGCAGGGTTTGTAGAGCTGAAGAGTGACAGATGCACCTGTCTTGTGGAGTCACCACCCTTCCAACCTTGGGGAAGCTCCCAGGGTAAGTTAAAGGGAGGGTACATAAGTGTGGCTGAGGTATCCGCTTGTTTTGGGGAACAACCTTGGCCCCTGGCAGTGATCTACACATCTAGGAGGGGAAAGCAGAGGCCACCTCAGCCACAGAGGACTTTCTGGCCGGCATGTAGACTACTTCTGTTTCCTTATAGGTTCTGAAGCCCTTCCATGAATCCCCGGAAGAAGGTGGACCTGAAGCTCATCATCATCGGAGCCCTGGGGTACGCCAAGCTCAGTTTGGGGTCTGGGGGTTGGGAAGCAGCCCCTAGCCAAGGGAATTGAGACCTCCTGGATGTGTTCCCACCTCTCGTGGGTCCCCCTCTGATTCAGGGTGGTGCCAGGGGGAGCATCCCACCCCAAGGAAGAGAGCTCTGGTGGGAGAAAGAGGCTGGGGGCGGAGCTGCAGACTACCCGGTTTCTGGTCCAAGCCCTGCAGTCACAAGCCACTTAGCATCTATCTGCCTTCCCATCTCCTGCCACATACAGGAAAGACCTGACCCTTGCTTTGCTTTGGGGACTTGGGTCTCTCCAAACCAATTCACTCACTGGTCCCTACTTCTGGAAACCATGCCCTACGTCCTTGTTACTCAAAGTGTGGTCCTTGGACCACAAATGTTTGACATTCAGAATCTCAGGGAGAAACAGCGGTGAGAGGGGCATGGTAAGATCTTAAGAATGGTATGAATGTGTGTGTGTGCGCGCGCGTGTGTGTTTGTACATGTATGTTCACATGTACCTGGGTTTTTCCCTCAGTGTAGGAAAGACCTCCCTCCTCCACCAATATGTGCACAAGACATTTTATGAGGACTACCAGACCACACTGGGGGCCAGCATCCTCTCCAAGATTATCATACTGGATGACACAACTTTGAAGCTACAGGTGAGCAGCCCTCCCTTTTCCTCTTCAACATGCATGCCTGAAAATCACCTGATGTTCTCTGGACAGCCACTCACACAGCAGTGTGTACCATGAGCTAGAATGGTCTAGAGCAGACATCAGCAAACTTCAGCTTATGGGCTAAATTTGGTCCACCACCTGTTTTTGTCAATAAAATTTTATTGGTACACAGTCATGCCCTGGTCTATGCAAGGTGCTTTCAAACTACAGCAATATAGTTGAGTAGTTGTAACAGACATTATGATCTACAAAGTCTAAAATATTTACTACATGACCCTTTATAGAAGAAAATTTGCTGATCCTTGATCTAGAAGGAAGGGCTCTAATCTAGGAGTTGTGAGGCCCCACTCCTCTCAGATTCCCTGGAAAACTTGGCAAGTGGCCTTGGGCAAGTCACTCTCAAGGTCCAAATCTGTCATATAGGAAGAATAATACCTGTCCTGACGACCTAAGAGAAAAACAAGAGCTCAGGTGTAAAAGTACTCTTGGATGCTAAATGTTGGTGCCAAGATACTGTAGTGTACGTGAGTGACAGGGTCAAGATGCCTGTGTGTGAAAGGACCACATGCATCTGTGCTGGGGCTGTCTGCTCCCTATTCAGAAAAGCAAGCTTTGACACAATGTGACCCAATTGGGCCTATCTCCAGCCACTCATCACAGCCCCACGGTGCATCTGCTCTTCCCCCCAGATCTGGGACACAGGAGGACAGGAGCGATTCCGCTCCATGGTGTCCACATTCTACAAAGGCTCCGATGGCTGCATCCTGGCTTTCGATGTCACTGACCTGGAGTCCTTTGAAGCCCTGAATACCTGGCGGGGTGATGTTCTGGCCAAAATCATTCCGGTGGAGCAGTCCTACCCCATGGTGGTGCTGGGGAACAAGATTGATCTGGCGGACCGGCAGGTACCATTCATTCATTTATTCATTCATTCACCAAATGTATGTGAGCACCAGCTATATACCAGGCACTGTGTTAGGCCCCACATTACCTTAAGTAGTAGATATAGACACTTTAAAAGACAATTGTGATACAATACAGTAAATGCAATGATAGAGATACACCCTGGATATTTGGAGACCACAGTAAAAGTGCATGTGCTCAAGGCCAGAATCTAGAAAGGGCTTCCTAGAGGACATGGCTTCAAAGCTGATGAAACAGCATGAGCAAAGGCCAGAAATAGAATGATGTGAGCCAAGAACTGAGGCGATTTTGTCTAGAGACAGGGAGTAGAAAAATTAAGGCATCAGAGGTGAGCAGGTGGCATTTATTAACCTATAGAACAGTATTTCTAACCAGGGTCAGGTAGGGGGTCTGCAGTTATACATACTTGAATCTACAAACCTTCTGAGAAAGTAGCATATAGTTTTATTAGCTTAAGCATATTCTCCTCATCTGACTAACCGCTTCATGGCTCTTCTGCTCCATGGCTGCAGCGACCCAACTCGTGTAGGTGTTTACTGCAGCGGCACCGAGCAGAGCTCTTTTCATCATTGCCTACTAATGAGAAAGGACTAGAGATAGACTTAATTTGTAAAAGATGCTCTGCCTGTTGCCTTTGGCCTTGGATCCCTCAGATGCATGTCAGACATAAATCCACTGCAGCCACCAAACTCCAGGGGTCAGGTGTTAAGTTTCCCAAGTTGCCTCCTGAAGCCCTCTTTTGGCTGGAGGTGAGGCCTTACTTGTTCTCCCTTTTGTGTGTGTGTGTTGGGGGCGGGGGGAAGGGAGAGGTTGTGTGTACCCACAACACTACTCTCTCCAATGAAGTCCTTTCTAACCTTTCTTTTCAATCCTTTATATCCATGCTGTGGGTTTTAGAGTCACCTAACAGATTCTTGCTCATGAACCTTTGGAAATGCACAAGGTTTGAGGCAGGGGCGGGGAGGGGAGTCTGTCTCCCAACACATCTGTCAAATTGTAGTGCCTCCTCTGAAACTTCCACTTTAACATCCTGCTTCGTACACCTATAATTCACAGGGTGGGAACTTGAGGGAGTTCAAGACCGAAAGTCTGACTTTTTCTAAGTAAAATAAGAGGCACCATCTTCTGTTGAGAGAGAACAAAGTAGAAGTCTTAAGAACAACAGTGAAGCTTTGCCAGTTACTCTGGAGAGAAACGGATAAAGGAGCTAATCAAGGACAAAGACAAGAACTGATAGGTGACACTCAGGGCTCAGCTGAAGGGGGATACCAGGAGTCTGAGGTGGAGCCTGTGTTGTGTTGTTCTGTGTTGAGTAAGAGCCAGGAGCAAGGCGCCTGGGACTAAGGTTTTTCCAGACAAGAGTAGCTGAGGAATAGAGCTGTGAGGGCACTGAGAAACCTGGAGGAAAGAAGAGAGACAAGGAGAGGGCTGAAGGGCTGGGGCTGGGTATCAGAGGTTGAGGAGCAGGGGCAGGTGGACGAAATGAGGACATGAGGGGGATGCAGGGAAAGGAGAGCGTGGTCACAGAGTGGGGGAGTACTCGGGATTTTACAGAGGTCCTAGGTCTGGCTCTGGGAAGAAGAGGCTGAAGCAGAGAGAAGGTGAAGACTGTTGGAGGGGAAGGAATTGTGAGGTGATCCTGAGGGGCGGAGGCTACAGGGTGAGGTGCGAGAGGGGGTGCTGGCAAGATGAGAAGCAGAGGTGAGGTCTTGAAGGTGTGGAGGGATCTGATCCAAGCTTCAGGGGGATGAGCTTCATTCTACAGAGGGAGGAAGATAGAAGCAGTGACTGCCCAGGCAAGCCCAGCCCCATCTCTGGCATCTGTGACGAGTGGGGTGTGGAAATAGCCCCCACTGGAGAGAGCGATTGGGGGAGGCGATTCCAGAGAAAGCCAGGATTCAGTTAATACAGGGAGGCGAGAGAGGATCCTGGAGGAGGGAGGACGAGGGAAGTTTGTCTTCTCACAAGGTCGGCCCAGGAAGAGGGTTTGCAGGGAGGTGGAGGAGGAGGACCCACGGGAGGACCAGGGAGGTGACACGGAGGACAGGGAAGTGGAGAGGAGGAACTGGGTGTGGGAAGCGCAGAGAGACTTCAGTTCAGAGACCCAGGATCATAAAGCCAAGACCCAGGATCGTGTGTGTGCGTGTGCGTGTGGGGAAGCGACTGCCCTCACATGTCCTGACTTTGGCACAGACTGAGCAGACGGTATTGCCGGTTGCTGTCTGGGTGTGGAGAAATGGAGGAGGCGAGCTGAGAGGCATCTTCTCTGGACTCAAATCCACCCTCCTGCATGTGCTTGGCCAGTTCTAGCTTCTTCATCTATGAAATAGAGGCTAGGCACAGATTTTATGAGGATTAAAAGATGTTTATAAAGTACCTGGCAAGCTCAATAAATGAGAGCGATTATAATCCTCCTTCTTCTTATCTCCAAGGCACAGGCTGGGAAAAGAATGGGCGATTTTCCTACTGAATAAAAAGAAAATGAATATTTAAAACTCTAATGCTAAGATTTGGGAGGACGAAAAAATTTTGAAGCCGGATGAGGGTGATGATTGAACAACATTGTAAATGAACTTAATGTCCCTGCATAAAAAATATATATAGTCAGATTGATTTTGAAGAAATCACTGACCTAGATTTTTTTAAATCTCTCCTTTTTCTACAGAAAGTAATAGTAATGGGGGGGGGCGGTGGAAACAAGGAAACAAACTGCAAGGAATTTATTCACTAGCATGTGAATTCTTTGCTCTATGCTCAAGGAGGCAATTTTTGACATATCACTGATTTATAATGTTGGGATTATGTTTTCTGAAAATGTTCTTTATTTTTGGTAGTGATTTAAGATATATTTGACTTGCTAATTTTAACCCATATTATTGATCATTTTAAATGTATATGAGATAGAATCATAAATAAAGTTAAACAAACTGGACTAATTTTGTCAAACACTTGGCTTCTGATGAACTAGAAAAATTATAACAGGAAAAATAAAATATTTGTAGTATATCTTCAGCCAAAAGCAAAATTAATGAAAGTAATTCTTCCGAAATTTTCATACTTCTCATGTCCCCAAAATCACACCCTGAGTTCATTTCCACCGTCAGAGCCTAAGTTACAAATAACTGTTGTTTTATAAATAAAAGACGAGACAATTCTTAAAATCGTGAAACTGTAACTGGAATGAGAGGAGAAAAGTGGAAAGTGCTGTCTGGGTGGTTCTGCTCCCAGGCCAGCTTTCTGAGGTTGAGTGAGAGGTGATAGGGACAGAAAAAGAATGTCAGTTTGTAACGATCTCCGCTGATATTTCGGAGTTATGTATTTAATCATTGCATGTAAACGGAACAGAGAAAGAGAGAAGGAAATGAGACAAAATGTCTGTCGTAACCTGGCTACTGATCAGGGGCTATAGTCGCAGGCTTGTCTTCCTAGCTCTGTCGCTGGGTGAGTTTGGGCACCAATTCTGGCTTCTGCTTCTCATGCCATTAAATATAAAGAATCTCCCTGCCTTCTGGAGAAGAGGAGGCACTTGACTCCATTGCACTTCACTTCAATTTTCACTGCAACTCCTGAGCACCAAGGATGCGCCCAGTAAAATGCTCGGTGCCTGATGGGAGTGGGGGGCTGGGCAGGGGGGTGGGATACGAAGAAGGAAGGAGCCATCAGAAAAGTAAGTCCAGTCCTTGCCCTCAAGGACTTTAAAAGATACAAAGCCTTTTGTGTTCCTAAGATGCCATTGAAGTACAGGATGTTCATTCCTAATGAATATTTATTTGCACGCTAACTAATGAGAATAATAGTAATCGGCAGCCCTGCCATTCTTGATTCTTCCCCCAAACCGTTCAGGACTGATTTTCTCCCAGCTGACGCTTCTTGGTGACTCAGCACGTCTTGGGCATCTGTGCCCACAGAAGGTAGTCGTGGCCAGTTCTGGGGCCCCTCTCTCCAAAGGCAGGAGGATCTTAGAGGTCAGAGGCCAAGACCAGGGCCTGGGATTTCTCCTTGCTTTGTGCGGTTTCAGCAGCTCCTTGTAGACTGACTGAGCAGAGGCGGAGGTGTCATTCGGGCTCCTCAAAGGGCAGGCTGCTTGGCAACCCCAGTCTCTAGCCTCCAGTCTTAGGTAGCAAGGCTCACAATGCCAGAGCAATGCTGGGGGACAGTAAAGGCCTGTGAGAGAGAGCCTTGAGCCCTGGGCCCAGCTCCCCCTGCTGAGACCAGGGAAGCGAGGACCAGAGGCAGGACGCAGCAGTGGTGCCTTTCATCTCAATGTGATAAATTCCCAAATCCTGCAGGAGCAAAGGAGACGATTTGACAAGGGGCAGTCTCCGAGCTCCCCAGCCTGTGCTATGTTCTAAGGGAGGGACAGAACGGTCCTTTCTCCATGAGAAAAACCTTGGCTCCCTTAAATAAAATGAAATAATGGTTGCAAAGTCCCAGGCACAGCAAATGTTCAGCATATGTCATCTCCTCCTCCCTGGAATGATTAGACATTAAACTCAGTGGTACCAATCATCTTCAGTAGTAACCCACAGGGCTACCAGAGCATTTTCCAATCCAGCATCCTCTGACTGTGATCAGCCATTTACATATGGTCAAAAGATATTCATTCAGCCTGCACTGAGGGCTCACGGCACCAGGCTGAGTGTTAAAAAGGCCGGGACCTTGAGCTCAAGGAACCTACAGTCCCTTGGGAGAGAGGGAAAAGCAGCACAGTTCTTATGCAGTGTCCCACAGAGGGCAGCTCAGATGCAAGGGGAGCACTGAGCTGGGACTTCAGCCAAACTCCGCCTTTCTCAGATGTGTGATCTGAGGCAAGTTGCTAAACCTCTCTGAGACTCAGTGTTCTTATCTATAAAGTGAAACTAATAAGACTCATTTCACGGAGTTATTGAGAAAATTAAATGAGTTCATATGACAAGGTAGCTAACACAGAATCGGGCCCACTGTAGGAGCTTATCAATGTTCCTAAGACTGTACCCTGAGTCTCCTCATAGCAGCAGGCCACCTAGGTGAGGTTCTGGTCAGCCAGCTGGCAGAAGGAAGTCCTCATTCCTGCCTAGTGTCTGTCATGAACATCTCCTTTTCATGGGACTGAAAAGGAGCCAATGGCAGGAAGAAGCTCCTAGTATAGGCCTTCAGAAGGCGGCACAGTGCAGCGGAATCTCATTCTGCTAAGCTTATGTTCAAATCCTGCTCAGCCCCACACTCTGAGCAAATCCTTTTATTCCCTAGTCTTCAGTTTCCTCATCTGGAAAGTGGAGCTAACAATGAGCGCATCATAGATTTTTGTTAAAAAATAACATGTATAGAGTTATGGA